ATTTATTTTGCTGTAGGATTCAAATCTTACAATATTATCAGAGTAGCTTCTAGGGCTGAAACATGGTAAGACTGGGTAGAATGAGGTCGTAACATGATGACCACGATGAGTATTATCTAGAAGACGATGGAGTGGCTAGCATTCGCTCTTAAAGGAGCATAGGGGAATTTACTCCATAGATGGAAGTTTCGGGACTTGTTCACAGAGTTCTTCTGCTCGAGGAATTATAACAAATATGGTCGATACGTTAGCATTTTAAATATGCAGGGTAAGAGAAGAGTTGTCATCATCATCCCCGAGTAGTCGCTAAAACACAGGATGGATAGACATAGCTACCAAAATAACTAATTCATAAATGCTAAGGCCCAGAAGGAAGTTAAGATGTGGCACAGGAAAATAGAAGAGGGTCTCTTATATCCACACTGTCAGAAACAATAAATGGTCGACAAGAGAATAAATGCTACAAAGATTCAACAAAAAGGGAAATCGATCGTTATTACAGATGCGACAAAAACAAATCAAAATGAACTACTAGCAAAAAGCATGGTTGGATGTCTCCCAGAGGAGATTCCATATGCCTCTCTATCAGAGATTTGACGGTGGGTGGCAAGCACTTGGAAGCACAAGCATGGAATCAACATCTACGATTTGGGGCGCAACCGTTTCCACTTTGAGTTTCCCAACGAACCAGCTGCAGACCACATTGTAAGAGGGAAGTGGTTCTGGAAATCCGACAAGTTCAACCTACAATGGTGGTCACTGACATCGACTTTCATCCATGATAGGCCGAACCAGGTCTGGATCAGAGTAGTAGGCTTGCCCCTCCAACTTTGGTCCCAGAAAATTTTCCATGAGATAGGAAACTTATGCGGAGGCTGGATTAGAACTGAAGAAGAAACAGAGTTACAAACCGCCTCAAATGGGCAAGGATGAAGGTGAGAGGAGACAGCGACTCTGTTCCGAACTTGGTGGAGCAGGTACATGAACATTTAACCTTCAAAGTCCCAATCTGGGTTGTGACGCCGACAAGGTTGGTTTACGGTGCAGGCAGCAAAGAACATCCAAAGATCCAGAGGTCTGATGAAGGAACTGGTGGACTAGAAGATGAAAGCCTTTTAGGCTTTACAGAGGTGGCAGGGCACGTGGGTTCCTCCTATGACCCTGAAATTTTGAACTGGCCAGCTGTCCCAGCACGTGACAAGGCATGCGTGGCTGAGGTCCTACTTTCCACCCCAATCAAGAGAAACAGGCCATGATTAGAAGGAAAAGTTTCCTCTCATTTAATTGACTCACTATCAGTCAAACTTGAAGCCAATATTCCAACTCATGAAAAGAGTGAAGAAGAGGAAGCGATGGTAAAGAATCCAGAAATTTCTGAAATCCCTCAACCTTGAGAAGATAGTGGCATGCAAGAATCTGCTATGCTGAGAAGTGAAGAAAACAATTCCAGCTTGACAACAATTGAAGATGCAATACCTTTAAACCAACATAGCCCAGGGGGGAAGAGAAAATCCAGACTTTGATATCCCTACATGGATACATCAGAACATCATCAAATTCTCCAAAGAGTTCGGTATAGATATCAAGGGGTGCAAAGAGGAAGCAACGATACTATTTATAAAGATAGATAGCATGAGGCAAAAGAAGTGAATAAGGAAGAGAAGTGCATGGAAATGACTCTGGCAGTAAAGGGATCCCAAGAACTGAAGAGCCATGAGTGTGGAAGCAATGGCACAAGAAGCAGGGGGGGTTACAATATAACATGTGACCAATGAATGTCACCATAGTATCACGGAATGTGAGGGGCCTGAATCAGGCAAGCAAGAGGTGTATCATATAAAAATTAATACATGGGTGGAAAGGTGATGCTTACTACTTCCAAGAGACAAAAATTGAAGGACAGATTACATGGTTGTTTGCATCAATGTTTTCAAAGGCTTTTTACAGCAGAGTATATGGCTATCTGGACTTAGGATGTCTAGTTTTGCTCGAAGGGAGCAGAAGATAAAGCAGATATAGATTGAAGATTTGATATCCGGCTTACATTTGGTAATGTTTGAGCAACAAATCAAAGTAGGCACTTGATTATTGTTAAAGAATGACAAAAGTCTCACATTGGTGGTTAATAAGATGGGTGGACTCCTTATAAGGCTTGGGCAATCTTCCTCCCTTTGAGTTAGCTTTTGGGGGTGAGTTAGGCCTAAAACCTAATTTAACATGGTATCAGAGTAGGACCATCTCACCCAATGTTGGGGCCCCCAAAATCAAAATTGCCCACGCACCAAATGCTAAGCACTGGGCGTGGGCGTGAGGTGGAATGACAAAAGTCTCACATTGGTGGTTAATGAGATGGGAGGACTCCTTATAAGGCTTGGACAATCTTTCTCCCTTTGAGCTAGGGGTGTGAGTCAGGCCTAAGACCTAATTTAACAATTATTAAGCAACAATGTGGAGAAACTAAAAGTAAACAAGATTGAGCTAGCTAGCCAAAAAAGAGAAACCCATCAAGTAAAAGCTGATGGGGTGGGATTTCCAATCCCAGAGGGCATCATCAAGATCAAAGTCTAGATAGGTGGCTTTATAATTGTCCTATGAATTAAACTATCTTCTTCACCCACTAACGCACCTATGTTATTTGTGTTAGAGTTGAAAGAGCTAATTGATTCATACCTACCCAAACAAATTGTTTTATTTCAAGTAATATAATCCCATTCCAAAATGCAACTCCACATATAAAGAACAATCAGTCAAGCAAAATGGGACCAGAAATCACACAAGCAAACACTTTAGAGTCAACAATTTCAGTAAATCAAAAAACTATCAAAAGAAGAGCACAGTTGTAACAACAACAACTTACAGTTGACTGGATTGCTAGAGATGAAGAAGAGGATGACTTTGAATGAGTAGAAGACATTCGAAAATCTCTAGAACAGGACTTGTGACTATGTAGTTGAGAAGCCGGCAATAACAAAGTTTCAGATGTTGTGATAATGGATTTTCTTGAAATTAAGGAGAAGGCAGAATTGGGTTGAGGCTTTCTGAATCTATAGGAAACAAACCCAGAAGATGAACCCACAATCTGTATAGCTTTGAGCATTATTTTTTCTGGGTAACAGCTCCCCACATAGCAAAAATTTAAAACTCAGCGATATTTTGGTGGGTCAATTGTGATTTGCCATAGCTGGATTTTGACTGATGAACATCCCCCTTCACCATATCCACTAGCTCATCAAAAACTTGTTTTTATAAGCATATTGTGTTTCACTAGTTTTAAAAAAAATAATTTTTGAGGATCAAATTATGAAAAATGATAACCGTTAATATAATTTTTAATATTAAGATTATTTTATAAAGAAATTATTTTACATATTTATTATAAAAATTTAATGAAATTTTTATTATTATTAAATTAGATATACATATTCAAAATTTTAATTGATATTATACATATATGAATAAAAAATAAATTAAATATCGATATAATATATTTATGTTGATTTAAATACATTCTCATATTTTATCTCTAAAGGCAAATCATCAAAAAAAAAAGGAACTTGGTCAATCTTAAGTCCCTTACCAAACTAGTTTCCTCAAATGACATAGGGCTTGTGATAATGTCATCCTAATTCAAGGACTTATATCTTATCTCAAACGGACCAAGAGTAGGAAGGGCGTCTTATATTAAAAATTTATCTTGAGAAAGCTTTTGATCGACTTGAATGGTCATTTGTATATCGAATCTTTCTCCACTATAAATTTCCTCCTTAAGTTACTAATTGTATTATGAATTGTATTAGCACTTCCAACATTGTTGTCCTTGTCAATGGAATTCAAACTAATAATTTTTGTCACGCCTCAAACCTACATCCTGGACGTGGCCGACACTCGAGAACCATCGATGGTCCTTAGGCGAATGCTTGGCCTGGCTGACTTCTAAGCGGAAGACTTACTCAAATAAAATGGGGATCCCAATTACCAAAATTAACTCATAATGTGTCAACAATAACTCAACTCAAACATGTCTGGAAATGCTTAGTTAAACATACACGATTTGACTCCAAGTCTCGAAACATCACAAAGAAAATAGTGAAAGACTCATCAACTACTAATGTCTATGAAGCCTCTAAATACTACGAGAGATATCGGGACAAGACCCATGACATGTTAACAAAACTGAAATATAAATGTGGAACCCTTGGATAGCAAGGAGGCTCACCAAAGCTAACTGGAATGCAAATGGTATCAACGAAGCGTTTGTTGATGACCCTAAACACCTGTATTTGCATCATAAAAAGATGTAGGTCAAATGACGTTAGTACATTGAATATACGAGCATGTAAGGGGAAACTGAAAGCAATAGTTGATTGGACTGACAAGGCTGGAAGAAATACTCACCTCAACCCAACTCAATATGAAAGCAATGAAAAATTTTAATATGATAGAGGCACAACCAACAAAAGGTGGGTGAGGCTCTATTCACTTTTTGACACATGGATAAGTGGGTCATTTAACTTTGAAGTTATAAGTAAAAATTAAAGGAATCCCATAGTCTAATATGTAAATTACATCATATCCCTAATAATATCTATATTACAAAAATCCCTTGTAAATGGATGCAGCCGGATACATTGCATCCACCAAGATACATTATAAAGGATACATTAAAAACAAATTGTTGTTGCACTAAAAAAGGGAAAAAAAACGTACAAATAAATTTAGTTATATTAATATCCTAGATTTACGCCATACTGATCCTAATCATAATCATTCCATATCCTAATAGGAATCAGAATCAACAATTTCAAAATTCAAAATATTCTTCTCCATTGAAGATGATTTTTGAAAAGCCATTGATGTTAAACAATTCATAATTTCAAAAAGAAACTTGATACAAGATAAATATATCTATTTTGTTGAGGCATTCAGGAATTTGGGCTAGCGAAATTAATTATGAAGGATACAAAAGTGATGAAATTGTTGTTGGACAATCAATTTCATTTATGAATCTCAAGGCAGCCATTATAGCCGAGTTAGAGATCGATGAGGTAAGAAAAAATATTGAAATTCGATACATCGTAGAAGGTAATTCATGTCCGATGAAAATTAAGAACGACATGGGTGTTAGACTATATTTAGAAGTGAAAAAAAGTGAGCCTGGTTTTGCAATGTATCCATTATATATTGATACAACAGATAAAATTGGCGGTGAGATACATAGCTTTGATGGAACATGCGGAGAGATTATATGTATCGAAGGTACAACAAGGGATACAGAAGCTCTTGCAGTGGTTGAATCAAGAATTTGTGATTCATATTATATTCCAGAATTAGAAGTTACAAATTACATAATTGATTCAAACAGTATAGATGTGAAGACAGGTCAATTGTATAAGGATAAAGCAACATTGATAGATGTGATGGCCAAATATAAAATAAAGAAAAACTTCAATTGCAAAGTAAAAAGATCTGATAGACAAAGGTATGAGTTTTTTTTTATCTTAATTTTGAATTAATGTTTTTAATTTTAAGATCTACATCGGATGATACATTTAAATTTCTAATGTGTTTGAAACAGTATTATTCTTAGAAACTGTATGATAGTGCTTTTGCTTTGTTGTAATTTTTTTGTTGATTAGATGATACATCCAAGAAGCACACACAATTGAGTTGCGTCTATAATGTATCCGATACATTTTGTAACTTTGATTTATGCGAAATGTATGAAACAAATTAGAAATTTAAATGTATGGTGATATTATGCGTTATGGTAGTTAATATTGTTGATACATTAATGTCATATAAAATGTAACTGCTATATGTATTAATATGATGTGCAACATTGTACAGCTATGTGTTGGCGTGCTTTTCGATTGAATGTGGTTGGACTATGAAGGCTTCATGCTGGAAAAATTCTGATGTTTTCAAAGTAAGATACTTTAATAGTGAACATACATGTCCAGTGCGGGATAGGATACTAACCAAAGTCCAAGCAACAATTGGGTTTGTTAGTAGTGTGACTGTTCCTAAATTGGTCAATCATAAATGAATTCATACTCCAAAATATATAATTGATGATATTAGAGAATTCTATGGGGTTCAAATATCTTACCAGCAAACATGGCGTGCTAAAGAACGTGCACTAGAAATGTTAAGGGGTAAACCATCAGATGGATATAAGAAGTTTCCGAGATACCTATACATGTTAAATAATGTGTATCCAAATTCTTATATAAGGATGCACAAGTCAGTGGAAGATGAATTCATGTATATGTTCATAGCCTTAAGACCATTGATGAGGGGGTTCGATTACTGCAGACCGGTAGTTGTTGTCGATGGAGCACATCTTGGTGGAGCTTACAAAGGTACATTTTTATCAGCAAGCACACTTGATGGGGGCAAGTATGTATTTTTTGTAATTGTGATCTTGTTTAATATGTATCTATATTGTAAATGTTATGTATCAAATGGAATGTTATGTATCAAATGAAATCATGCATGTTGATCTTTAATTAGGTTGCATATTGCCATTGGCATATGGGGTTGTAGACACTGAAAATGACTGTTCGTGGACATGGTTCTTCGAACAATTCAAAAATGCATTTGGCGAGCGTGAAAAAATGTGTGTTGTTTCTGATAGAAATGAGAATATTATGAAGAGTGTAAGAATTGTGTTCCCAACTATACCTCACTATGCATGCATATGGCATCTTTGGAAGAATGTCTATGGAAACTTCAAAAGGAGCAGAAACACTATAAGTGATCTATTCTACTCTATGGCCAAGGCATATAGAAAAGAGGATTTCGATACATTAATGGCTAAGGTGGATAAAGTTGACCACAGTACCTTGAGGATGCTGGGTATGAGAAGTGGTCGAGAGTTCATTCAACAGTAAATAGAGGTAGAATGATGACTTCGAACATAGCGGAATGTATCAATGGTTGTCTTGTTGAGGCGCGTCAGTTGTCTATATTAGAATTCTTAGAAGAGGTTAGAATTCTATTTGGTTCTTGGCATTGAAAAAAATAGAGAAATAGCCTCTTATACAAAAGATATATTGGGGAGAAAATTTGAGGAGATATTGATTATAAACGCATCTAAATGTTCGAAGATGAAGGTATGTATCAGGATACATAATTTTATATTTTGTATCAAATTTGGTATATCATTCGGCTATTTTGATCAGCATTACTTGAAATAAATTTATCAATTACTTTTTAATGTCTGCAGGTTGTTCCATCATTTGAATTTATTTTCTCGATTTATGAAGCTGGAAGAAGATACATTGTTTGTCTTGAGAGGAAAGAATGTACTTGTGGCAGATTTCAACTAGATGAGATACCTTGCGCACATGCAATTGCTATTTTAAAGGACAAGAATGTCACAAATATGTATCCTTATTGCTCTGATTACTACAAGCCTGATACATTAGCAAAAACTTATGAGGTTCCAATGGTTCCAATGGTTCCAATGCTAGATAAGGAAGATTGGTCGGTTCCTAGCAATGTTGTAGATGAAACTGTGTGGCCACCTAGATATAAAAGATTGGCTGGACGACCAAGGAAAAGAAGAAAAAAAAATGCAGATGAAAAGATAATAGTAAAGATAAACTGTTGTGGACGCTGTGGTCAAGAAGGACACAACAAAAGAACTTGTACTTTCTTCCCAAAAGAAAAGTGAAATCGTTATTTTTATAAGACATTTATGTTTTTGTTGAATAATTTTTGACTTAATGGATTATCACTTTTATATTTATCATGAATAAATGTTACTGTTTATTTTTGGTTATTTTGATTCAATATTTATGAGTTTTGCGGATCCATTTAAGAATTTGTTATGATTTCTGTGTTGGATGTTATTACGTTTGTTTATTACTTTTGTTGTTCAATTCAATAAATTGTTATGATTTGTGTGTAAATGTTATCTCCGATATACAAATATTTAGGTGCATTTGTATCATATACATTATGTGTAAAATATACTATGTGTACTGTATCATTTACATAATATCTAATGTATCAAATTCATTAAATCATAAATAACCTATCTAGATTAAATAAGCTATTGTATCAGAGAAATCATATGATACATAAATTCTCAACAATGTATTTGTCACAATAAATAAGAAAGCATGTATCAAATATATTATTAAATCATGTATCATATTGATTATAACTATTGTTGTATATACATTATCAAAATATTGTGTTAGACTTTTTAATAGACTTTTTTTAGAATACATTGATGTTTAAGATTTATAATTTTCAATTCAATAAGTTTTAGATTATAAACGTAATATACTGTTTAGTGTGTTGTCCTTTTAAATGTTTTTGATACAGTAAATTGAATTGATGTTGTTAGGAAAAAAAGTTTGCTCAAATTTATGTGCATTTTATATTGATGATGATTTAATAATAATGTTTGATTATTAGAATTTGTAAATTTAGACAAATATACATTTCGAGATTAAATGAATAAAATATATTGATATTAAAAAGTCAGACAAAACAAGTTTTAAGAGGAACCCTTCAACACTTAAGTTAATATATCTTGAAAGCAGTAAAAACAAACAAAACATTGTGTATCCATTGATGCACAAAAACTACTTAACCAACGCATCATGGTTTGGTGGTGTGAAATGACCCCTAGGCTTTGATGGATCGTCATTATCACTAACGTATCTAGCTTAAGCCTTTTCATTGCCGTAATTCCATAGCAATGCTGCGTATCTTGACCGGAGATAATCAGAACGGAAATTATTGGATTGGATTGGAATTTCATCGCTAAGGAATTCAGCAAAGGCGGCCACAAACAAACCACAATCCCTACAAAAATGCAAAAGATACATTATACAAAAATAAATTGAACATAAACTTTAAAACAAGATGTTTTAAAACTTACAGTGTGTCGCTTCCTTGTTGAATAATTAAAAAAGAAGAAAAGCAGCAAATGCACGTATTATTTCTCTTGCATTTTTTTGTATTTGTTCAACTCAATTTATTATGTAAATATATTTTCTCTCTCTTGTTAATGGTAGCATTTTTGCTTTAAAGTAGATAAATGGCCTACTTATCCACATGTCAAAAAGTTAATGGAGCCTCACACACCTTTTGTTGGTTGGGCCTCTATCATGATAAAAAATTTCAAAAGCAATCAATAAGAGATGCAATATTTAAAGTTTTTAAAACAGTAGTTATCAACTCAATGATGTATAAAATATAATAATATACTTTTTACTTTTATTTGAGAGATTCTTTAATCGATAACCATCACTATGAGCTATGTGATGATACAATGTCTCGCCCACGCTGCTAAAACTGTCATATACCTTGTCGGGGTATAGAACACCTCAACTAAGTTGATCCACTAAGCTATGCTTAAAAGCAATAAGGAATCATCTAAAAGTTTAATCATTTACCCATGTTGGCATACATGGTTTATGAGGATTTTGAGTTGTCTGAACTCATCCCCATATCAATGCTCAATACTACTCCCAATAATATATAACTCATGCTCAAATGTGTAAAACATAACTCTTTCTGAATTCGAGGTAATTACTCAAAAGATCCTCTAAAAAGAGGTAATGCTCTGAAAACATCTTTGAACTCATAACTCATTTAGACATTGTTGTTTTTCTCTTCGAAAATGTAAAGTGTTACATTTAGGAATACCTAGTTCCCCTATACTCATTTTGAAAGATGAAATACAACTCTTCTCATTCTCATACTCATTTACTCAAGATTTAGTTGAAAACTATAGTTAATTGCAAAAGAGTTCTCAAAAAACCTCTTGGACTTTCCTCTTAACTTTAGTTTAATTTGAAATGTGAATTAAGACATGTGATTATGACATGTAGGATCTCTCAAAGATTAATGAAGACTTTAAGAGTTCATACTAAGAAGAGAACGTAGACACGATTTGAAAGAACACATATGGAATGAATGACAGAAAAGAACCTGGCAACCCTGGCGCACTGAGTGGCGCGGGGCACCAACCACAAAACTACTGGACAATGTTTGGGGTGCACTGTTGGCGCGCCGCATCAGTCCCCAAACTACTGACCAGTAGTCCTAGCACGGTGGTGGCGCGCCGTCCCACACCTGTGCCCAGAAAACTAACAATTTTTTCTTCAATTTTTTTGGTCCTAATTCATCTAGAATCGAGTGATTTCTTCTAAACTCTTTTTGGTTTACAAACCCCACACAAAATCATCGAAATTCCACCCAAACTTTATCAAGAAACACCACTCATTGTCAATACCTTCACCTCAAGAACTCAAAACCTCCATTGTTAAAAAATGGGGTAAAACTCAAGAACTACTCAAGAATCTCATTATAAACTATATCATGGACGAATTAATGGAAGAATTACATGTTTGGCTTGAGGACGAATAAGTCCAATACTATGAGAAGCTTACATACCTTGAAAGAACACTTGTTCTTGGCGAAATTTCTCAACCCTTAAATGAACGCTTGAAAACCCTCTTTTCCTCTTCTTGAAACCCTTCTCTCAAACTATACTAAATCAGATTAGACCCTTATTTGGGTGAGAAAAACGTTTTAGGCCTAGTGGGGATAAGGAAATGACAAAAATACCCCTTTCTCAAACGGATGAAAAAATCTTAACTAGAGAGGCTTCACTCAAACAGCCATAACTTTTTACTAGGAGCTCAAAATTTATCAAACTTGGTGGCGATGAAAAGAGAAATCAAAGACCTTTGATTTGATACCTCATGGACCACCTAACTATTTATGTGCTAAAAGATATGGTGGTCTGAAGTTGACCCAAAATAAAAAACTGATGGAAGTTCGAGGTGATACAATATCTCTCCCTTGGAAACATTCGTCCTCAAATAAGATCACACTAAGTAGAACAGGGGTGGAAAGCATCTAACCACCCCAACTCAAGCACACAACATGCAATTAACAAAACTCAGCACATCAACTTAAAGAGTACTTTACAAAGTGTTAATACCTTGGTTTGGAATTTCTCCAGAAAGAAAGAGATGTGGGTATATCTTCTTCATATCTTTATTGGCCTCCCAAGTAGATTCCTCAATAAATTGATTTCTCCATAAGACCTTGACTGATGCAACCTCCTTGGTCCTCAACTTGCGAACCTAACGATCAAGAATCTAAACGGGCATCTCATCAACAAATTGCTTTTTATAAAGGTGTAGTAGAAACATCGTTTGATTGAAGAGGTTGCCTTAGAGACAGAGTGAGAAATGCGTGCCCGATATCCTCAACTTTTTTAAGCTTCATGTACCTTCTTTTACTTTATGTTCGAGAGGAACATGATTTTGAGTGGTGGATAATTTAATGACCTTGAAGGTATTTTTTGGAAATTTAAAAAAAATTATAGTTTTACCCCTCTTGATTATGGCCCAGAGTCATATTTGATCTGTTTATGAAGACCATTTTGAAGGTTTATTGAAAAGTTGTGAGTTTTGAAAGTTTTAGAGTTTTGGAGTTGAAGTTTTTAAAAGTGATTGTTAGTAACAATTGGAGCTACGAGTCTCGAAATGGAATTTTGTCAATTCCATCAACTCTCAATTGCGAAATTTGGTCGACGAGTGTTTTCGTTTTTAGTTTTGGAGTCTTTATGTGGAATTGAGCCTCTGAGTTGGAATTTAAGTGAAATTAAGTCAAGAGTTGACTTTGGTCAACATTCACAATTTGGACGCTCGGATTAGATTTCCAACGATTCCATTGGATTCAATTGATGATTTTAGGGCCTAGGGAAGGTCTTGGTTTAAATTTTAGAGCTTCCGAGGGAAGTTTGGTATTTTTTGAGTTAAAGTTAGTATATTGTACTTTCATGGGTTTCTGATCAAGAAGATCTCAGATCCATGCTTCAATGGTTCCATTCAGTTCAGAATGTCGAATTTAGTAGGGTAATATATTTAATTTTTTTGAATGAAATTTTGAACGAATCCCAAGGGTCCATTTGGAGATTTTGTTACGCCTTATTTTTTGTTAAATTGCTGAGTTTTGGTGCATCCTAGTTTGTTCATCGAGATCACGAGACTCCTTCTCGCGATCGCATATGGATCATTTGTTGTGTGTCACAATCACATGCAGTCAGACACAATCGTGTAGGGTTAGACTTTCAGCCATCATGATCACGTAGGTCCTGATTGCGATCGCGGTGGTCAAAATAAATGAGTTGATCGCATTAGCTCATTGCGATCGCGTGGCCTAGGGGTCGCGATCATGATGAACATTTGTGACCTAAAAAATGTGTTTTTCCAAAATCGAGGTTAATCTCCATTTCACCATTTTTTTTTAATCTTTTGAGCTTAGTGGAGGCGCTTTTAAAAGGTTTTTTTTCAAGAATTTTCGATTGGGTAACGAATTTTAACTCCCCATCTTTATTACACATTATTTACTTCAAAATTTTATCATTAAATAGCTAATTTTGAACTACAACTTTGTGAGTTCCTCAAGAAGTTGAGTTTTAAGGGAAATGGTGATATAAGATTGATTTCAACTCAATTTTTGATGTGGTTTTCACTGATGAGTTCCAAAATCATTGGGTAACATGATTTCATACAAAATTTTAGATTTAATCCTAGTACTTGGGAATGGATTTTTGGGTGAATTTGACCTTGGTTTTCAAAATCATTGATATGGTTGTTGTTAGTCTTGAATTTTTATTGTGATTCCATATTTGTATAGATTATGTTGAATTGGAGACCCATCGGAGAGGAAAAGCTCATATACCAGATTGATTATTTTCATTACTAAGGCAAATGGACATTTTGACCCTTTGTTATGTATATTGAACCTTGTATGCAATGTGTGATTAGAAGTAATGAAAATTGGTGAAGAATTTCCTATAAGTTGTGTATTTTAATTGACGTATACGTTATAGTCATGATGTTGTGGGATAAAAGAAGAATCTTGTTGATATTGTGATAAATGATGTACCATGAATGGTTGGAATGTTGTATTGACTCACTCTTGATATTTGTGTCAAGACTGTTCGTGTTGGATTTATTGTTGTGAAGAATGTTATCATCTCATTGAACATTTGAACATATTTATTTGCATTGGTGCTATAACATTGTTATGATGATTCTTTGTTGCAAATAATGAGAAATAGGGGATGGACCATACGACTGTGGCAGATTTATGAGAAATAGGGGACAAACCACATGATTCGTGGCAGATTCATGAGAAATAGGGGTTGGGCCAAACGATCTGATGCATGGAAAGATATGACCCTTATGGGTCTCGGACTGTAATACAGTAGGTGTGTATCCTAAGAACATACATGCATCACTCTATATGACATTGCACTTCATCTTGTTTCTTGTCATTAGTGAATGACGATGTGTTTTTGTGGTTATTGAATTGTGAAAGACCACAGTAATGTGACTATATTTATTGAGGTGAAAGTTGTGATGGTCATACGTGCTTTGTTGTTATCGAGTGTGAACTGTTAGGTTGAACTTATTTACTATATGCATGTCGTAGTTGTGGAGGTTCAGTTAGTGTAATTGGAGTACTTGTGTTCAGGATTACTTTACTTAGAGTTATTTGGGTTCATACTTGTTGAGTGCCATTGTTGTTTGGTACTCACCCCCTTGCTTCTACACTTGTGTAGGTTACGAGCGTGGATCGTCTTGATTACTCCTTCTTACCTTTGTTCGAGGCTTGTCTGAGTAGTTTGTGAGGTAGTTGTTTGTCATTTCGGCAGACATCGCTTACTCTTTCGTTATGTTTATGTCATGTTCTAGACAAAAAGACATTTAGACTTGTATTTTTGTTGATTCTAATGTAATACTTAGAGTCTTGTACATGTGACACAAGTCCTTGGGGTTTATAAGTTATGCTATATATTTTCGCAATATTCATGATATTTAGTCTTCCATTTCCATTTTATTTCCGCATTAATTTATTTTGTTGGGTTTTAGGCTGATATGTCTTGGTGGGATAAGACAGGTGTCACCATGCTCGGTTTCAGGTCGTGACACGTTCTATATTCTCGAGTTCATTTCATTCATATCTAGACATCATACGTGATGGTACAAGAATGAATGGAAGATTATTAATTTTTGTTGGTTCTGTCCCGGTAATATTATTTTTCAGTTGATCTAATCATTCAGCATTTCACAAGGTAGATGCAAAAACAATGTTCACCAGTTAGGCTGAAGCTAATTAACTTGTTTGAAAAAGGCGTTTTAGGGCCGTTAAGGATGTGGTACCTTTTAGAGAATGAAAACGGAAATAAGCGAAGGATATTTTGCAATTAGCGACAAGAAAATTGGTTGCTAAAAATTAATTATAACGACTGAAATTTCTTTTGTCGTTAAAGGATCTTTTACAACTGGATATTAAATCCGGTCCTTAACTCTTAACGACGGAACTTTTAGCGACCGGTGACAACCAGATTGTTTTCGATTGTTATCGATTTATAGCTACCGAATTTAGACTTTTAACGACTGAAACTTCCTTCGCTAAAGATTCTTTTTCCTGTAGTGGATATCAATGGTGTAACTAATAGTTTAAAAAAAGTATATTCTGAATTAATATGTTGAGGTGAATTATTTATGAAGTAATCATATTGGAAAGGGAATTTTTAAGATATACCTCATTATCGCTTCTAGGAAGCGTTAATAATCAAAACTTGTTGGGTACATGTGTTTTCCGTACTCACTCTATACTTGTTGCACCTTTTTGTGTGCAGGGATTGAGCCAGGTACTATCATTACTTGACTTGCTGCTACGATTGACATCTGTGACAGTTAGAATTCAAGGTGAGTTACTCTCTCTTCACCACTAGATTATATTCTAGAGATTCCTTTTATTGATATCAATACAAATTAATTTTGATTTTTGATATCAATATCGAAATTTATATACATTTTTCATTAATTAACACGATATACATGTGCAAAACACGTACACTTGACTAGTATATATAGAGAGAGATAGAGGGTGCTCTTAGTCTAACATTTTCACCTTACTTACCAAACACCTGAGAATAAATAAAAAGATTACTTATTTCCAAAAAAATAAGACATTTCCCATCATACCCAACACATCTAAATTGTCTACTCAATCATAGAAAAAGTAACTCATTATTTTCACTAGCAAAATGTAACTGAGGTTCAAACACTTGAGCTGAGAGGTAAATCACTACTATTTTATTAATCAGCTCTTTGAGACATTTGAGAGTATTGCTAGTTAAACATGATTAACTGAATAACACAAACATTAGACAGATGATTGAAGCCCAATAACGCCTGCGAAAACAGGTGTAGCAGAACGATATTAGTGCCACAGATAAGAAAGACGAGGAAGACACAAAAGGATTTCAATTGTAGTTACATAAACTTAGAAATCACAATAAAATTGAACCTGAAAAGCAATTGCAATTTAGGTTCAGATTTCATACAATTTAGCTTCAAATTCATAATGATCCTTAGTCATATCAGTAGTAATTAGGCTTGTTCTAAGTAAAACATAGTCCCTTAGACCTTACTTGTTCTATTGGTGCATTTACGTCTCTGATAAGATATATAGGGAAAAGGGCTAAATATACCTCAGAACTATTCAAATAAGTCAGCTTTACCCTCGGTTATGTTTTTGGCTCAAAAATACACTCCAACTATCAAAATAGATAAAAAAAATCCTTCTTACTAAAGATTTGTCCAAAACAAAGAAAATGGGTCTAATTTTGTCTTGAACTATTCTAGATAAGGAAGTTTCCCCTCCATTTAAAGTTCAAGACAAGTGCTCTTAATTGTAAAGACTTGAGCAAAAACTTGTATTGGAGGTTATTAGATTAATTTGACTATTTCAAATGACAATTTTTATATAATGCTAATTTTATATTTTATATAAAGTCTAATTATGTGCATTAATTTTTCAACTAAATATTTATTCTACTCTTTCCTTTCAGAACTAATATACCCGCCTCAACTTAAACTTGGGATGACTTAAAGTTATGATAAGTAACAAAACGCACAAAGATACAATTGAATTTGATTTCTTTTATTATATCATTCTTAGAGTTGGTAAAACAAATTCATTATTGTTAATGTAAAAAAATAAAAAATTATGTAAGAAAAGGTATGTGATATCATGTTTAGAAATAAAAACTCTGAACCTAATGTATGAGGAACCGGAAGATAAAAAAAAGCCATGTCATTGTTTTTATTTGTTAAAATGTAAAGTATTTATACTACTTTTTTTTCTATATGTATAATATAACACATTCAACCTCCTCATCCAAAAAAAAAAAAAGAACAAGGGAAAACCTGTCCTGTTTGGAATGGTTCATGGCATAATTGACCATTTTTCTTCGTTCCAAAGAAAAGAAGATCATTTTGAGGTATTTTTATAGTTGGAGGACATTTTTGAGCTAAAAGCGCAATAAAAGATATTTTTGAGCCAAAAACATAACAAAGGGTGTATATATATATATATATATATATATATATAAAACCAAAATCTCAAGGGAAGAGGAAATGCAATTACCACAGCCAACTCTTGCACCTGCGTTTCCAGTTGTCTTACTAAGTTCATGTCCACCTGTTCAATAGTTAATCAGCTCAGGACTCATAAAGAATGACACACCTCAAAATATTTGGACTTTTTTATGATATAGCCTATAGCCTATAATAACACACAGAAAACGAACAGTAGAATAGGTCTCAAGAATGATTTCACCAGATGAAGATACCTCATTGTACAATCAGAGGTGGACCTAAGATTTTAAAGTTAAGGGTACACCATTATCTTAAATATCAAAACCATATAACAAGAGTAAAAGTTTTGTTGATTCACTTGATTTTGAGTTAATCCTTTTAGCCATATACCGTCTTTCAACTGACGTTTTCAAACCATGCTTTGCAATCAAGCTAGAAAAAGGCCAAGATTCAGTAGTGTGTGAACTGATTGCTGAGCATACCAGTTGACACTATTAGATACAACCCAAGTTGACTCTTTGCATCTATTACCCAATTTCCTTTTTTTCTAACATATACTTCTAGTAATGAGTTATACATCTCAATATCCATAATTTGTGAAAACTATCAAAATTTCTCTTGATCTTACAAAATAACACAAGTATAGTTCATAACAACGTATCAGAATATCCTACATATCTTTGTTAGTTTTATAAATAAATGCTTGCAATTACATATAACTACAATCTTTCAAACACACATAATTTTATAAAGATTTACTCGTCCAATAAATCAACAATAGTAGAAACTAACTATTCTTTATTATATATAATCCACTCACATGATACTGACTCTTCACGTTGAGCTAGGTTGAATAATTATTTTTGCAATAAATGATGAATCTTTCTTTGCAACGTATAAACTTATTGGTTAAGTTTTACAATTTTAAAAAAAAAAATAAAGTTACAATTTGAAATCCTACTTTTTGGAGAATTTGATATTTTAAATCATAATTTGACATTGAAGTTGAAATTTTATTCACATTTCATAAATAGGCGTTGATTTCAAATTTGAGCCCCAAAAATCCTATGACCAATGTTGTCTACTTTGTAAAAAGCAAGAAACACTTGAGAGGTGTATAAGATGAAAGCTATGATCAAATCATCAAATGGCTATATCTGAGATAATTACAAAAAGGAAAAAAAATCCTTTCTTTTGGTGATTAAAAACTGAATCTCTCAGTATTACTAAAAGCTAATTTTAACTTTGTATGGTTTCATTATTGTGGCTTAATACAAACATTAGTTATAAATTAGCATGTCATCACAACTTGAGAGTCGTAAAAGAATCAAGCAAATACAATTGCCCATTAACTCGAAGCTAGCAAAGAAGAAAGAAAAAGAATATGACATCCTTAAAGACAGTATGAGAGTATGACTATCTCAGCCAAACAAGACACCCTTATGCATTATGTTTTTCTCTTCAAATGTTTGGCTCACTTAAGAGACATGAAATGCACAATTTCTGTCAACAGTCTAAAAGACATGGTCAGGATTAATGGTCACACATCAAAGAAACAGCACATACTGATCATAATCAGAGCACAAAAAAGGGGGCAAGTTGAAAGGGAAGTAATATTGAACATTGCTCAAAATAAGTTAAGAGTGACCAAAAAAGCATGCATACCTCTTCCAAGATCATCAGGATAAGCATGCACAACTACTGCTCTCCCCAAGATGGAGTGTACTCCACTAAGAGGAATCTATATGTACGAGCAAAAATTAATATTGTCACACACCAATCAAATAGCATAACAAAGAAGTAGAATGTACTGTACTGTACCTGCATATCTGAAATTGATATCTCCGCCACCCCTTGATTACACAAATAATCATAAATTAAAGGGAACAATCAATCCAATTACTGAAGTTTAAAAAATATGAATTATAAAAGTAATAAAACTAACCATCAGGACCAGCAACAATGTTGCCTAAATCACCCGCATGATGTACTTCATCCGTGGGAGCTCCATGATCTTTCTTAAGTGGATTAAAATGAGGTCCTAAAAGTCAATCAGTTACACTGTTAGGGGCAAGTATAACCAAAGACTTGCATTTGATTATCATAGAAGGATCCTTAGCTACCTAGATTAGTAATTAGTCAAATTCAATCTCCTTGTTGCTTATCATGTACAAGGTAATTAGCTGTTTGTAACAAACAAGAGTGTAACAGTAACCAAACTCTCATCCCAATTTGTATCGATTGAAACTGACTCAATTACAATAGCTAGTAATCAAACTGATAGTTGAATGACAGAATTACTAGAACATAGAAGGGGATAGACATAATACATAAAAATGACCCTTAACTTGGCTTTAGCAGATAACAATGCCCTCCAACTTTGAGTGTGCACAAGTGGACACTTAAACTTAAACAAGTAAACACACATGTCCTACATGACATAATACACTCCATGTAGAACACAATATTGCCATGTAGGGTGTCATGTAGGATAAATGTCTCTATTTGTTAAATTTTATACAAGTTTAAGTGTCTATTTGTGCACACCCAAAATTAAAGGTCATAGTTGTCTGCTGACACCATATTATAATAGACTTTAAAACTATTTTGCTCTCACAGAAACAACTCTCCTATTCTAATAGTGAAATATATTTTAGATTGATCAGAAACTCTTTGACACATGCATGTGAGGTTCAAACCCACAACTCTAGCTTGGAAAACATTTCCACTCCCTTCCTTACCACTAAGCTGTCAATCAGTTTGTTACAATCAGTTTTGTTAGGGATTGACAAGTTAATATACATATATATTTATTTAATTTTCTAATACAAATAATAGTATCTATGAAAAAAGTTACTGGATTCATCCAAACCAGCAAACAACCACATATCTCCACCCCTAATCCCAAAAAACAAGAATTAGAAGAAAGGGAAGGAACCAGTGGAATTGCAGCCGTTAGTGGTATCACCCAAGGCATGAATATGGAAAGCGTGGCGACCTGGAGCTAGACCAATTATTCTTCCTCTCACATGGGTACCACCTGTATGAGTGTATACCCAAATTAATAACAAGACGATCGAGGAGTAGAAAACACAATAACAGTTAGAAAAGTACCGTTGGATTGCTGGATGAATTGTAAGGACCCTTTCACACTATCGTTCCCAGAGATGACAACCACTGCTTTCAAATTCGCCATTGATTTTTTCCCTACATCTTTCTCCATTTTTAAGGGTCACCATTTTGTCTCTATCCTTCTTCTATCAATGTTCTGTCACAATTCTGCCTTATATGTCCATTTTGGTCCCTTAAATAGGATTCTGGGCAATTTTAGTCCCTTAAATTTTTAAAAGTGGAACATTTTTTATTCAACTCAAAAAATAAAGGGAAAAGAGTTTTGACATATCACTCAACTTTGTTATTTAAAACTCATATATTGTCGATATGAAAGTGATTTATATATATTTTTACCATTATATAAGTGACTCACATATACCCCTATCATTACATAAAAAAAAAAGGAGATCACCTATGACGGAAGTGAAAAAATTAGTTTTAAATTTATATTTTTGACTTTTAATTTTTTTAAAATCATGTAAGGGTATATATGACCCTTCTAGAAAAATTCAAAGTATATTTTAATCTTTTTCATATATAAATTATTTTTTGACTTCTTTGTTTATCATTTTTTGAGTTTCTTATCTCATTTTTGTTTCTTTCATTCTTTAGTTTAAAGAAAGAAAAAAAAAAAAACTAATTTTTTTGTGGCTATATTAAAATTTAAACTATTTTTTCGGCTGTATTATAATTTAATTTTTATATTTGTAAAAAAGAATTGGGGCATCTATAATAAATTTTACAAGAAAATTAGTAAAACATAAATAAATTTGATCATCAAAATAATAAATTAAAATTAGTTGTTGAAACATAAAGTAAAAAAAAAATATGTGAGGAGGATCAAATATACCCATATGGATTATATATTTTTTAGAAAAAATAAGAACTTAAATTAAAATTAATTTTTTCACTTCCGTTAGAGGAAAAGGATATATGTGAGTCATTTGTTAACAATAGGGGTATATATGAGTCACTTTTATAATGATGAGTATATCAGCTCTAAATAACAAAGTTGACGAGTATATCAAACTCTTTTCCCTAAAATAAATTGAAAAACCCATGCTACTATCAAAATTAAAATTTAGATTGCACACTATAAGGTTCATTTAGGGTTGATGCTCCCAACAATATTTTCTTCATATCCAGAGCTCAAAGGAATTAAAATAGACCTACAATCATAAATATGGAACAACTTTGACGAAACACACATTCTCTCTTGTTTTACTTTGGAAACCCAAAATTCATGGACAAAACTTTGGGGACACTTACTCTCTCTAATTTAGTGTTATTGCATGTGTGAATCACATTAATTAATAAAAAATGTTACAGTAAAAAGATTATTAAAATAGTAGTTAGCGTTAAAATATCGGAGACATTTGTGTTAGCACTATAAAAAGAAAGCCTACATAGCGAGCGCTTATTTTACATACTACGGGGAAAGAAATCCCCCGCAATTTATTTTCACAGAGATTTCAGAAACTCTCATAGTTTGGTGATTTGGTCTGCCACAATTAAATTTGTGGGGACTTTTCATGAACCGTTATAACAAGTAGCATAGGTTATTTTGCGGTGGTTTGACCCGCAAATTAATTCTTAGAAAACAACGGTTATAACCTCTGATATGAAATTTTAATAATAAAAATTAATGGAGGTTGAAACCCTCACAATTCGTAAAAACATAATTATCTTCTTATATTTTTGTCATCAGTGAAACAATGCTCTTTTATTGAGGTCTAAAACTAATTAGTCTAATTATAGTTTAAATAGACATAAGTTTACAAAAAAAAAAAAAAAGAAGTGTGCAAGCACACAACTAAGACAAGTAATGGTATTGATGTCAACATACAAAAAATTAAGCGAGAATCTTCACATTAATAATATAAAATTGTTTGCATATCGTTTGGTTGGGAGAGCATAATTATGTCATACAGATGTATTCAACTTCAACACAAGTACATCGTTGTTATTCTTACTCCCCGATAAATTGTTAAGCACATCATTCACGTTAGTCACTATCACATTCAGTTCAATCATGCAATTACATTATTAAAACTAATTATCTAATACGATTACAACACTTTAACGATTGCCACTACAACAACTATAATTGGATGATCTTTGCGTCCATCAAGAAAAGTGATTCACTACCTGCATCACTTGGCTGCAAAAAAAATAAATACACAATGAGATCTTTTGAATGATAACTTAACTGCAAAAGGAACATTCTAATTTCAAGTACTCAAAATCTGAATTGTAATATTTTTATTGTAGCTATTCGGATAATACTTCATTGGCTGTGAATTTTTTTTAGCCAAGTAAAATTACTTTGTGAAATTGAATTTTGTAAGCAAACTATATTATGACATGCTTCAATTCAAAGCACCAACAACGCTAAAAAAAAAGAACAACAAAATAACATCATAAATAACACCAGTTAAAGGTGCTTTAGAATCTTGATGAGTCACGAGGCCTACAATCACTCTGACATATGATGTCCCTTTGCTAAATATGCTCTAAATATTATTAGATTTTGCTATGTCAAATGAAACAATACAAAGCCTCACATATTACTACAAAATAATAATATATTTTTTTACATTTGATCAAACAGTTGCCACATGATGAACAATAAGATGTAGAAAGCAATTTGAATGAACATATAGTGTGCTTGCCTCTTGCCTGTCCAGACATTGATGATGCATCAAGGACCTAGGAGATGTAGATGATTGAATATAAAAAATAAGAACATTTATTAGACACAATTTAAAATGAAAAGTCGTAAAATCAATAAATATGATTGCCTCGGTTTTTCTCTATTTTGCTATGATTTCTTCACATGTCCTAGGGGTGGTAATTTCAACCCATATAAGTGGAATGAGTCTATTTAACCCCATATATACTTAAATGGATCACTCATATTTTCTAAATGGAGAAATATGAGCTGACTTATTTTAAAAGATCATACAAATATAAACAAAATATGAGTATCAACATAGACCCATAGATCACTCCCTTGTAATAAAAATCCTTAATTGGACTAAAATAATATATTTTAAAAAATAAATAAATTAGGGGATCGGGGTGGAGGTGAGGGAAAGGGGGGAAGAGAAAGTTAAACTTTTTTTTGATTTTTTTTAAAAATTTGGGGGGTGGGATGGGGGTAGGGGGTCCAGGTGGGTGGGGGGGAGGGCAAGAGAAAAATAACTTTTTTTTAAAACTTCTTGATTTAAAAATAAAATAAAATTGGGGTTGGGTTCGGGTAGGGTGGATGACTTGGTGGGGGAGGGGGACAAATATTTTTAAAACTTTCTTTTTCTAAAACTTTATTTATAAAACATTTTAAAAAATAGGAAGTAGGTGTGGGTAGGGGGTCTGAGGGTTGAAAAATTTATCAGTTTTATTAAAAAATATTTTAAGTGTCTAAAAATGCTGGTTGCTACCTAGCTAACTCTCCATAACAAGCCTCAGAAGTAGAAGGAAGAAGAAGCAATCACGATGATCCGAGCTAGTAACCTATACAAGTATAGAGGCAAGAGAATGAGTACCAAACAACATGGTACTCAGCAAGCAAATCACTAAACTCAAAGTAAAGCAATATAGAATATCGGTACTCCTAAGACACAAACTGAACCTCCACAATTAACACTGCACAAAAACAATCCAACCTAGAAGTTCACATTTCACAGAGCAAATATCATGAATAACAACACTTCAATGTACACAGATTACCTCTAGCACCCCAAACATTTCTAAGCTAAGACTCAAACCATTCTTCATTTAAGTATAGGATCGTATCAAGTGATTTTAAAATTGTGCATAAGTGTTACGGTCAATTATTTAGTGTAGAAATATATTGGGACATGAATTAAGGTCACAAGAATTACCTAGCACAAAGTTGAGTTGAAAGCTTTCATACCGATTAAGTTTCGATATAAGATTCTACCTATACCAATTTCAAACGATCATATCTCTCAGCACATAATTAATTAGGTGGTCCATAACCTATCAAACTGAAGTTATATGAGTCTTCTTTTCAACGCCACCAATTTTGCCTCATTTTGGGTTTGGTGTAAAATGTTATGATCATTTTACCAGAGACTACCACAAGAGAGTTTTCTGAGTAAGTGACCTACGAATCACTTCTACAAGTCGTAGAAAGAGCTACGAACCGTATTTTTTGACTTATGAAAAAAGTAGTAAAAGTCAAATTTTTGGGTCCAATTCCTACAGACTCATCTACAGGACGTAGTTTGGGCCCGTAGAATGAAATTTTTACCCTTAAAACTTCAATATGAATTTCACGGATGGAATCTATGGTCCTAGATAAAACCACTAAACCGTAGATGGCCCGTGGAAGTTTTTTAACAACTTTTTAAGTGGGGTTTCTTTAATATTTTTCCACTTTTCCTAAGCCCAAGTCATGACGATTTAACTTCAATTAGGGAAATATATTCCACCAAGTACTCAATTTTAATTTAATTCTACGCTCTCAACTCCCCAACTCAAAAAGAAGACTATAAGGAAGACACAAGCTAGGGTTTTAAGGCTTCCAATCAAGTTCTTCTTCAAACTTCTTTAAGAACTTTGTTCTTCCATGTATGTAAGACTTCAAGGAGAGTATTCATTTCGCTCTCATACCTAAAGTATTTTGATTATATGATGAATTATGTTTAAACCTAAGATTTTACCCAATCTTCTTCAAGCTGTGATTTTTATGCAAAAGTTCGAATTTTTATGAAAGATTTCTCAAGCAATAATGAACTACTATGAACAACATGTTTTGTTATATAATTATGATTTTCCAAGTATGTGTCAAGATTATTTATAAAGTTATTAAAACTACTTTTGAGTATTTCCAGGCTATGCATGATTTCAAGTAAGTTATCTCATGTTTAAAGTGATATGAATAGAAGTAAAGATATGTTTATAAAAGAGATGTTTGAGCACTGCCTCACAACACTATAATTCATGATCAATATAACAGTCAGGTATGGCATCAATGGTTATGTAATACCTCGTATCCTAAATAGACTAAACCAACAGATTTTCCAAAAGTTGCAGGAGCAACCCACAGTTGCCACCCACGGACCGTAGGGTTACCC